AGCCCTAGACTCCGCAACAATCAATTCAATCCGGTCACTCTCCTAGACCCACTTACCTATCTAGGTAGGGCTTAAACTCCTATAGGTAACTACTAGGCTTAAAGCGGTAATCAATCAATCCAATCTGAACCTTCTAGGACCCACTTAATTGATTGTTGCGGACTGTGCCAAGCCCAAGCTGTTCCACAAACCTCACAGAGACAAAGGTTGTCTCGCCGAAGACGCAGCGTTGATAGCCATGGGTCTGTTGATGAGGACTTTTGTGGTATTGAGAACATCTCTACACTACGCAAATTACATCAACTATGTGTCTGGCTGCGCAACTCAAGTATACATGCAGCAGAGTGGGATCGCAAGGTAGGCCTCCGCTTAGGGATTGACAATCAGACTCGGTGGTCTTCATGGTACTCAGTTATGGATCGGGCTATTAAGAAGATGGCTGCAATTAAGGTCTTTATGCACGATAACGAGAAACACCTTAACGAGATCCGTCTTACTTCTGACGACTGGGATATACTACAAAAAGCACATACATTTTTACAACCATTTGCATCAGCAACGCTATACGCGGAGGGAGATAAATCGTCTATCTCTCAATCTCGATACCAGTTTCTGGTATTCCAGGCTCATTCATGTCGTTCTCCTGGTTCAGAAGGTCTCCTGGCTGTTCTTCAAACAGGTCATCGAGACCATCTCCTTCTGGGTCTTCCATTTGTGGACCGAATAGCGACTGGCGAGGCTTCTTACTCCTTTCGTTGTTGTCTTGTTCGTCGTCGTCAGTCCTGCGCGACTTTTTGTTTTTGGGAACTTCAGAACCAGAGCAATTAGGCGCCTCGGAAGCACAAACATCTTCAGGAAACCTCTCTTGAAGCATGTCGAAGCTGGCTTCGTGCTGGTCGACGTTCGCCTCAGTGATAGCCAGACCATCGTCCGGCTTACTTGTCTGCTGGATGTCTTCCATCATTTCATGATCAGGTGAAGGGTTCGCAGACTTGTAAGCATTTATTTCTGATGTTGCGACATCATCGTCAGTGTCAATACCATGCGGAAGAATAAAATCAAATCCGACTTCTGCCATAGGTAGCATTCCCCCATCCGCCATGACGAGAGCTATATGGTGAAGATGCTTAGACCGTGGAAGTACTTGGCGAAGCAAATGGGGCTGACATCTGTGGAGTATAGAAAGGTGTCCTTGTATGCTAGACTACAGTAGTCATAACGTGATAGGTAAAGCTGATGCTAGAAGTCGTGTTGATTTACGAGCGATGTCATTGGTTGGTGATAGAAATAAGGAACTGGTATCACAGCAGCAATGAGTTCTGTAGGGTTGAGGAAGCTCCGAGGTCGTCATGAGGAGCTGAGCGGGCCAGCAAACGCTGTACAGTAGCAATCGCACACTCGCACCAACCAAGTGAGAGAAGCGTGGCCCGCGGCGGTGAACTTGCCTCAACAAGGACAGGGTTTGTGCACATGGCGAACATGATATCGCATGTTACAGTTTGTACCGACGTGTTTAAGGCTTTTTAATTTCGTTTACTGTTCTGCGTGGGATACGGCGATGAACGGGTGAAGCAGGGGAGTAGTGGAGTGCCCTGTTGGGGCATACCGAGAAGGGTTAGTTAGTCATCAATATGGGCGCTAACACAGACCAAATCCACCAAAAAAATGAGCTGCATGCTTCTTCGATTCTCCCTCTGCACCGCTCATTTCTTGATGAAGCTGCACACGGCGTCCTGCCGCCCGCTGTGGGCAGCATGGCGCGATCGATGAAGCTATTTCTAATACGCCACGGAGAGACAGTTGACAATGTCGCCCAACTCTAGTAAGCACACAGACACCTTTTAACCTCCAGTACTGACTTTCCCAGTGCTGGCAGCAGAGACTCAGCCCTTACCAACCACGGCATCCAACAAGCTATCCGCCTAGGCCTCCACCTGAAGACCCTGGGGCTTACATTCACCCACCTCTTCTCGTCGCATCTCCAACGTGCCGTGAACACTGCCGGCAAGACACGCGAGGCTCAAATAACACCGGAAAGTGACGGCAATGCCGCGAAAACGGTACCTTCTGTCGTGCAGCTACCGGTGTTGATGGAACAGGACTTTGGCTCGATGGAGGGGAAGAAATTCCACGACCGTCCACCGTTGGAGCTCTCGAGCAAAGAGAAGAAGAAAGACAGCACAGCCTTTGTGCCTGTGGAGTCGAAAGACTCGATGGCACACCGCGCTGACTCATTTCTTGATGAGCATCTACTGCCGCTGCTTAGTGATACGTCGAAAGACATGACTCCGGAGGTCGCGATTGTCTCGCACGGCATATTCCTGTCTACACTCTGGAAGCGACTACTCTTGCGATTGCCGCCGAAGAGTGTGGTGCTTTCATCAGAGCTTCAGGCGACGGCGCGACCGTCGCTGGAGCATCTAGGTGGCTGGTCAAACACTGGCTACCTCGAATTGCATCTGCAGAGAGATGAGGCCAGGGAACCTAGTCTTGCTCCGCTTGTAATACCTCTCCCAGAACCATCTTCGTCGCCTGCTGAGATGCCGACTGCGAATGAAGGCTTGGGAGAAGTTGGAGTACCAGAAGCCGCGACCGGTCGTGTTCCTCCAGTTGCGTCTCATGCAGATCCATCGACTAGTCCAGTCCCTGTATCATCCCTAGCTACAACGTCACGCATCGCTCAAGGATGGTCAGCGAAGATTCTCACAATCAACGGAAAAGACCATCTTCAAGGTCTGAAGCGCACTGGTGGCGGCGTCGGAAGTGCTCGACACGATGCATCCCAGAAAAGCATCGACACGTTCTTCAAGCGCCGGAGAGTTGATTGAGATCTTTGCTGGTAAGTCTCATATTTTACTACTCCTTATATGCAGTGATGAAAAACCATCTTATCACAGACCTGATCGGAATTTACTGTCGACCAAAATTTGTACCAACTGCTGTCTGATCTGCAAATTCATTCCGCTACTCCCTACAATGTTCTTTCAAGGGCCCTGCTAACAAGTAAAGTCAAGGTGAGAGTGACCACGGTTGGCACTAGACCCTGATTATCAATATATTATGTTTGACTGTTCATGCTCCCTGCTCTGTGCCCCTGCTCCCGTGCTGCACTTCTTACCTTGCACTATCCTATTACTAATATCTTGTGAGATGTCGCGTCCTGTTACCACGTCTAACGGTTTGCGAAACTTGGCTTCAGACGCACGGAACAAGGACAAAAGAGGTTCAGCTACTTGGCACCTGTGGTCGCTTGACCCAGTTGTCATCGAACTGCAGTTATGCCCCGCAGCACTTGCAGCTGAGATTGCAGAGCTCATGATCCCAGGACATATCAGCTTTTTTGATTCCAATACCGGCTCGGTAGCCCACAGGTTCCAAGAAATATACAACAACGCGACTGGTACCCGCATGTCAAAACCGCCACTTTCGAAGCGCAGTGAGCTGACTCTCCAGCTAACTGCTCGCTTCTTAAAGCTCCTTCTCCAGAAGAAAAAATCGTGGAAAGACGAAGCGCAGTTTCACCCTCTATTGGCCGACAGTGCAGACACCGCAACAGCCATTCAGGACCTAGTTGACAACTTGGAAAACCCCCATTATCAAAAACATCCATCCACACTCACCTTCCGCTCGCCGATTATGGATCTTTATATCAAACCACACATAGACGCATGCAGAGTCAACAGCCCGCTACCCCACAAATCATCCACAATGACTTCAATCATGCATTGTGGCGCTCTTCTCACTCTAGAAACATCAGCCCCGACAAGTACCAGCGAGGTCCATCTGCTGTCCGGCATGCGAATATACCTCGTCTACCCGCCCACACCACACAACATGGCATTGCTATACGTCTACTTCCGGGACCTAGGCAACGGATCGAGCCTGGACCACGGAGACTTTTGCAGAAGAATGCAAGAGGGCGTCACTTTCTCCAGTATCCCGGTGAAGTAGTGACAATACCACCATATTGTCCAACCGTAGTTTTCACTGCAAGCACCAATGCAGCAGTGACACTGCGCACAAGGTATCAAGAAGGTTTGCCCTGCAGATTACAGTATCTCAATCTTTTGGTCAGCCAGACGGCGGCTTGTCAGCGGGTCCTAGGTCGCCTACAAGCAGCGGGTGAGGTTGTTGAGCATAAGATTGTGCAGCTTCACGAGGGCATATGTGCGTTTCTTGGAGCGGAGACGGATGAGCCGGCGGGCGGGAAGTTGATGTCAGCATTCGACAGGGCTTGGAAGAAAAATGGTGTACGCTTTCGGGAAATGCTTGAGCAGCATGTTAGTAAGGGGGTGAGGGAGGATTTGCCGATGCTATAGGCGAAGGCTGTGCGAGTAAGGGATCTGAGAAAGCGACTATTTTGTAAAGGCGGTATTAAGGGTATTGGAAGTACACTCATAAGGTGCGTCTCTAAGTGAAAAGACACACTATCGCGATACAGGTTCACAGTCCAGACACGCAGAGATTCCTCTTGCCTATTGCACACTCGCTCGTGCTAGCTGCTGTCACAGAGATAGCAGGGAGGATAGGTGCACGTAATGGGTATATTCACTACATGTGGCTAGCAGAATTGGGTCAGGCTAGAGACAGGACATAGCTCAAACAGCTACAATGTGAGCGAGTTTTGCAGGTTTTTTCGAAGACGCTGAGTGTGCCAGGGAGCATCCGCTATATTTGTAGCTAATCATCGCCGAGCGCATTCTTGATGTTCTTCTTGCAGCCAGCGCCATGAAAGCTACTCTCCTAACAGGTATATCAGGCACAGTAGCAATCGCAATAGCCACCTTCATTCCTCCATGATGAATGCACATTCTCGATAGTGCACTATTTAGAATATTAGCTATCCTGATAGTAAAATATAGAATAGCTATGTAACTTACCATGCCGCACCTCGTTATACACTCTGTACGCTCCCAGTCATGGCAATTTCCTGGAGGCGCCTGTCCATGTCCTACGTCAATAATGATCATAGCAGGGAGAGCTTTCAACACTCTAATAAAAATACATACCCATGGAGCGACCTTGCAGTAAATGGCTCCTTGCTTCGGCAAAGGTTTTGGTGTGTCTGCTGGTGCTGGTGCTGGTGCTGGTACTGGTGCTGGTGCTGGTACTGGTGCTGGTGCTGGTCTCGGTGTTTCTTGTGCACCTCCTAGTCCTGCAAGATAAGATAGAACGAGTACACTCAGAAAGCGCATTATTTCTGTATAATTTCGAAGTAGTTATAGGCGTGGTGTCACAGCACCAACTCGGCGCTCTGTAGGTCACGTGCCCCCATCCCTAGCTTGGCCTAGCGCCTGCTACCCTACGGTACATATCCTCCCCGTACTCTTGTACATAGACCTTTACACTACAACTACGTTCTTACCTTGCGACTACTGTTTGGCCCCGTGATACGTGGGTAGGTCGAGCGGAGGAAAACTTGAATAAAAGTCAGACGTAGAGAGAGATGATTTCTTGCAGACGTTTAGTGTAAAAGGATTTATAGTCTCTTATATAGAGGGATCTAAGGAGCACAATATTATGCAAAAGCGAATAATCGATCGTTGAACTAAGAAACTAGTAGGCGTAGAGCCGTAGAAGTACGTATTCGCTGACATTCAGCCGACGTTAACAGACTGTCTTAGTGTTACGAACCTAAGGAGAGGACACAGTGCAAGATATGAAGGGCAGAAGGATGGAGACCTTGTCGGAATCCCTTCTCAGACAAAGGCGTACAAAGGTGTACAAGGACCAATGACGTAAGCCTGCCCCGCATCCCATAAAGCTTGGCGGAACGCCACCATGGGACATGTCACGTGTGTCCCAAGGAATCCCACGATGTACCACGATGTCCCACGCATGGGACAGTGTAGGACAACGTAGGACGTATAGGACATAGGACATTCGTTAGTATATAACAATAGGCAATGAGCCCTTACGGTTCATTGTGTTCAACTTCGAAATCTAAGGATTAGTACTTGATTCTCAACTCCCCGTATATTACATCGATCTACCAATCGTGCTATACACCCTCGTGTCCATCGCATCACTCTATCCCCGAGAACCAACCCAAGATCATCTTCGGACGACCTTCACACTTAGGCTCTTAGCGTAATGTTAGCCTTATATTATAAACTTATACTATTGTATCTAACGATTCTGAGCTCCTAGGATCTATAGATCTAGCCACCGTTCGGTTCACTCTTTATGGTCTTGGCGTTTTTGTCTTGGCATTTAAGCGTAAATTAGCAGGCGGCTGCCTTTCTAAATACAGAGTTAACTTTATAAGACATATGTGAGGGATCGATCAAGAAAGATTGGATTTGACAAGATACAAGCTATCGAGCTATCTACGTTGTGAGCCCGAACTTATGCTGTGGGCGCCAAGGCGCTAGTCCGATAAGATAAGGATCTTATCGATATGGGGGCCATGGGCCGAGCGAGTCTATGGATCCGTAACAACATAGAAACCCCCTTAACAACCTAAAAAAATTGTACTATTATCACCTATAAGGTAATTGCTTAATCCTTAACTTCGTCTTTCTTAGTAGAAATCCCTCGGGGATTATTCTTGTTGCTTGCAACGCGCCATAGAATACGCTAAGCGCCGATTGATAGACACACGGATCTACTTAGATGTGCTAGTGCTGACAGTGTCCTTGAAAAAAATCATCGACGATCAAGTCGGATAACCTACTATGTTGCCAGTAACACCGAATTTTTGATCCTAGATAGGTGACGGATCCTTGGCGTACGAGGAGTTGCATAATATTGGGGAGAGCTCTATGGAGCTACTTCGCACCGCCTTGCCTCTAGATGACGTAGCTAGCAACCACCCTACGTAATGCTCTGTCACTTGGATGACCAGAGACGCCTGGTGCTTACAGGATTACTTGGCAATCTGTTGATCGGCTACAAATAGTTGGTCTGTGGATCTGAAAGAGGAGCCGTGCCTTTACACTGGGCGTCCCGGCATGCTCGGGTGGACGTGAGTGTATCTTTGGAGGGAGCATTAGCGGAGGGCGATTAAAGGGTAGGAGGTGCTAGTTTAAGTTGATTTGTAGGCGAGGGAGAGAATGATAGCATAGTCGTTAACGGAAGCATGGATGAAGTATGTGCTAGCTATGAATCGAAGAATGAAGCTTCTGGAAAATCACTAGATTATGGATACTTGAGAGTTTCTACCTAAAAGACTGCAAAATATGACATCGACGCAGCAGATTCGCGATCGAAGAGAACTCTTAGCCTTGGGAGCTTTTGGTGCTGGAGAGCTTGGAGAGAGACTAACTATGAATGGCTAGGCTTACTGCATGGTCAACAGCAACACTGGACTGGTGACATCTCGTCGCCACTTCCTCACAAGCCAAGCGCAATAACTGATGTATTCAAGGGCGTTCTAGCATCTCCTAATTGACACTCTAACGAAACAACCAACGGTTCACTCACCAGTTCTCATGTAATAATACGTAGACTTGAACTCACAGAATCTCACTCCACACAAGCAGAAAAGCACTGAACTTGTTAAGAAGGACTAGACGAAAAATTCCACGAAATCTATCTACGCCCACGAAAAGTGCTCAGAATGCAGATAAACACCACCCGATAGACTCCCACCAAATATCTTCAGATTCTCAGCCGCAACCGCATTCCTGACATCATTCTGCATCGTCTCAGGGCCACATACGTATACGCTGAGCGACTCGCCTGCGTCCGCCGCTCGTGTAGCTTCTTCTTGCACAATTTGAGGTAGCTGGGGTCGGCCCTGGAATTCTATGCCAGGTACAACCGCCGCAGCGGGTTCTACCCCCTTCCCGGTTTCCACTATAATTTCGTTGGAAGATGTGGATGCTGTCGAGTGCGCGGGATTCGCGGCTTTTGTCGACAAGTCCGCTACTTGTGCGGCTTCCCCTGTGAGGTAGATTTGTACGCGTACAGAGGAGGATAAGCCTGGTGTTGGGAATTTTGCAAGAAGTTCTGCTACTGTTCGTTCGAACCAGAGGCGACTTCTGGTGTCTCGGGTTGCAAGGACTACGCGCAGAGAGATATGTTTTGATCTGTAGCTACGAGGAGCAGGCTTCTCTACAAGCTCACCTTTCCCCTGTTCTTCGTCGCTTGATGTTGAAGCGGAGCGGGCAAAATGCTCGATGAGTGGTAAACACCAACCAGCGCCTGAGCCACCAGCTATAACGAATAGCCGATCCGCGTCCCACAGCCTGGACGGGTTAACGCCGCCGTATGGTCCATCAACAACAACTGAGATTGGCACATCTGATTTGAGAAGTGCATGTTGGTAAAGCTTTGCCGTAAATCCGCCCTGATGACAGATATAAAACACCAGTTCCGACGCTTCGTCACTGCTCCTTGGTGGCGATGAGCAAATCGTAAACGGGTGAGCTCATAACGCTGGCAAGATTCCGAAGCTGGTAAAGCGCAAGAAGCAGTGCTGACCCTGAGTCCAGTGGAAGTTTGCCGGAATATTGATACGCGTGAATCCGTTATCCTCGACAGCGATGTGCGCTTTCTGAGTCCACTTGTATTCAAACACTGATCGGAGCCACGGGTAGACGAAACAAGGAATGTACACGGCGGCGGTAGCCACGAAGTAATGCCAGCTAGTCAGCGTATGATCACAGTGCCAGAAGAAGGTGACCATAAACACGACGACAGCGAAGATGTGCGTCGCCTTGAAGAACTCGTAGCCAAGAGTCCTGATTATTAGGTTAGCTTCGTTCCTCTGGTGAGCTTGGGATACATACCGTATAGTTGCATGGGACAAAAAGGTAAGCCAAGCCTGGAACACAAGTGCCACAATCCCCGTCCAGTAGAAAAGCAGATTGTTAGTAAAATGCTTCTCCATATCATTCTAGTGAACATGATACACAATAAACGGAAAGGTATGCAAAAGCGCCAGCAAGAAAAACGCATACGCAATCCACCGATGAAACACCTGAAGCCGTTCATACGATATACCCGTAAGCAAGGTAATCCAATTCGTCTTGCTCGCCGTAGCACTGCCATCATAATCAGCCTTCTCACACACAACCAAGCACGACAACAACAAAAGAAGATCGAACAAACTCACAAAATAAACGGCATACACCCCAACGCCAACCACCCAGACCTCGTCCCCAACGGCGGCGACCCCCCAAACTTCTCACTAACCCAATAGTACGGTTATGGCGCTAGATCCATACAGAAGAAATACACAGTGCCAACCGCACCCAGCATCAACACCCCATAGGCGCTGAATTCCACTTAAACCGTTGGATGTGAAATCCGCGATACGACAGATACCGCAACCCAGTGAGTCCTCTCTGCCATATCGAGCGCGGGCCTATCTTGCGTTTTCGCAAGAAGAGTATCGAGCACAGTCCGCAACAATCAATTAAGTGGGTCCTAGAAGGTTCAGATTGGATTGATTGATTACCGCTTTAAGCCTAGTAGTTACCTATAGGAGTTTAAGCCCTACCTAGATAGGTAAGTGGGTCTAGGAGAGTGACCGGATTGAATTGATTGTTGCGGAGTCTAGTATCGAGACGATGTGGCTGAGGATGAAGAGGCCAATTGCGCAGATGAAGAAGAGAACGGTGGGGATAGCGAAGACGTGGTCGGCTTCGTACCTTGAGCTGTGTTTAGTAGATTGGGAAGAGGAGGAGAGGAGGGGGACGGACCAAAAGTGCCAGCGTTGTTTGTAGTAGGCGCATTCCGCTGGTATCTTTTTGGCACAGCTGGGCATACGCATGCCGGTTAGGACAACGGGGGAGGAGAGCCATGCTGCGTTCATTTTGGTAGGTGGGTAGGGTAGGAGCGAAGAGGTGGAGTATAACTACTCTAATCTAGCGCGATTCTTTTACTTCAATCTTACTGGACATAAGGTTGGGAAATAAAAAGCCTAAGACTTCCAATTCGGCTTTCCGCACATCAGATGAAAACAACAACTTAGTATAACAATTGCTCAAACCCAACTCAACATGACCAAACCCTTTCCCGTCCCGGGATTATCAATCTTTCCTCCTTACACCTCACAAAACATGCGCAATTTAGCGCTTATAGCTCCAAATTCATACCCATACACATACACATACCCCATGCTCGTACCGCTCCCGTTCCGTTCCCCACCCCTGTCACACCTACCCTAAACAAAAGCTTGTATCCAATGCTTGACTTGCGAATCACCCCGGATATTACCGGGTATAACGCCACTGCACCAATCACCTCTTGCGCGCATTTTCTCAAACAGGAGTTGCGGCTTGTTTTGGCTGACGAACGGGGGAGAAAAAAAAGAGCGGGTTTGAGCAAGTTGTCAGCGACGCACGGGACGTGGGGTCCTCGGGATGCGGGAGGAACGTAGGTTTGTGGTGTAGATGGGATGGATTTGGGGAGGGATCGGCGGGGCTTGGGGATGGGAAGTGAGCAAGATTGACGGAGATGGCTTGTTTTTAGGTGTAGTTTTAGTTGCAGGGATTTAACAAGGTCCTTGACATTATGGTAATAAGCTCTTCGCGCATTTAATCCATGAAGAAGGCTTCTGTTCGCTACTCTCTAAATTCTCTTATTTGATTAATATTTTTTTTGATTAACTACCAAACTTTTTTCTGTACCTTTTTTTCGTGCCTTGTTACTTTGACTTGGGAGCATTCGAGGTATACGACCCATTAAACGATACGAATACACCACACGAAGTAACGATGAACATGCTAATGCCCACCACCGGCATATCCACCACGCCCATGCCCATGCCAATGACCTTCCTCACCTCAACGACAACCCCCCTCTTCTCCCCCGCCTGGACACCCAGCACAGTGGGCCAATACACCGGGACCTGCGTTTTCCTAATCATCCTTGCAGCCCTCTTCCGCGGCCTCGTAGCCATGCGGTTTAATCTACCTAAAGTGGTGGCTATAGTGCAGGACGAGCGGGGGGAAGAAGGTGGGGTGAACGGGTATGGGTATAAGAGCGGGCAGGAGGGGAGGAGAAAGTGGAGGGCGGGAGAGGCGGTTTGGATTGCGGGGGTGGATGTTGTGGTTGCTGGGGTTGGGTATTTGCTGTAAGTTAAGTTTTCCTTGAGGGAGGGGGGAGTGTGTAGGGCTGCAGCTGACGATGATGATGTTTAGGATGATTGCGATTATGACGATGAATGTGGGATATTTCATGTCGGTTTTGGCGGGGATTTTCCTCGGGAGCTTGGTTTTTGGACATTTGGTGGGGAAGTCGGCGGCGATATGAAAGTGGATGTTTTTTTCTTGCTTCGTTTGGGAAAGACATGGATGCGCGCAAGAGGTGGGAATGGCAGATGAACTAGTAATTTCTAGCACTTGAAAGGAGAAGGGGTGAATAAAGGGCGATGGCTACGCTAGGTTACATAAGAACTGCAAAGACTACTTGCAAGACTCCCTCAATGATCATCCTTCTAAGCATCCTTGAGCATGCTAGCAACACCAGCCCAAGTCTCCAACACAGTCGGCCTGATCTGGTTCGCAGGCAGCACGAAGCCGTAGGTACCCTTGTCGCGAAGCTCATATGTGTATGAGTAAGTAGCGTTACCCTGGACATCAGTGTAGTCTGTGGATGATCCAGTAGTGGCGTAAAGCGTCGAACAGCTGGGGCCAATCGTGTAAGGAGTGCCCGAGACAGCGCTGATGGCGGACTGAGCGCGGCTTGCGAGTGAGCGGTGCTGGGCGTCGTTCTCGGGGCGAAGGCTGCAGTCGTAGCCGTATGGCCAGAGAATGTACTGGCCGTAGGAGCTGGACAATGATGAGCATGTGAATAAATTTGCAGGACAACAGATTGCACATACTGAACATCGAGGTAAAGTCTAATACCACGCGACGCCTTGAGCGCGTCCACTTGAGCCTTGACCCCACGGAGCTCGGGTGAATCACCTGCAGCGACACCCTTGTATGTCTCCGAGCAGGGGTTGGTAGAAGCACCACCAGCTACTTCCCACTTGTATGGCCAGTTACCTTGAGGCCTGGTTAGTATTGTGCCCACAAAAAGATACAATGGGATGCTTACGGTTGATGTCACGACCGACACATGAGTTGCCACTCACAGTCTGTCGGTTCTTGCGCCAGAGACGGTCGGTAGTCTGGGAGTAGACAAAGCCGTCTGGGTTGACAATGGGTGTGATGTAGAAGTCGAATTTATCGACGAGAGACTTGATAGTCGCATCGCTGCCGTACTGGTGAGGAAGTTGCATGCGAAGTACTGTAGTGATTTGTTAGCCCCCTTGCCAGGCAATGTGAGATGTTTCATACTCGGTAGTCATGGAAGTGATCCACTCTCTCGCGTGAACGTTTCCATGGATGATGACAGCGGGCTTGGAGCCCTTGCCGCCGCTACCCCAGATGTGGATGCCAGTCAAGACCCGTCCCTGAACCGAGGTACCCACGGTGACAATCTCAGACTGGCTAGTGTAGCCGGCCTGTAGGTCTCGGAGGAATTGGAGATGATCAGCATATGGGTGGTACGCAGTGAACCACGACTCGCTAGGAACTGATGGAAATTAGAGTCTGCGTTTGACTGCACGTCAACTGACTTACCAGCATATATGCCCATCTCTCCTTCTTCCGCAAGGGCAGCGCCAACATCCTCGTTCAGCGTCTTGCTTTCAGTAACCAATGCAGTCAATGCGTCGACATTCTCGGGCGCGACGACAACATCCATCTCGGCCGACTTGCCGGGGTTCAGGACGTGTGCAGCCAGGCTCTCGATCTGAGCCAGCATATCGTTGGTGCTAGTCACGCGAAGGACCTTGTAGCCATTGTAGTCAACCTTCTTGCCAGCTCTTGGCACGACGGTGCCCAGGGCAGTGGAGGAGAGGAGGAGCGCCGAAGTAAGAATAGTGGTCTTCATGATGGCTGATGGAGAGACGACCGTTTGATGCGGTGTGCTCTTACAAAGAGAGGAAACCACTTGCTTTTATGCTTTGGGGTGTTTATATCGTCCCATCATCCACCTTCCCGCCGAGGAATCTGGCCAAGACGCCTTCTTGCTCGCCATCACGAAATCACATGGAAGAGGCAGGTACCTATCTTGTACTGTCCGTAGATCCGCTGCAGTACGGGAGATGTGCACTCGAAGGAGCTCGACAGAAATGCTGCACGCGCGGAAGATGACGACTGAACGGGGATGGAACATATACCTCACGACCTGGATGGTCGTTTAATTTATTAGACTCTCTTGGCATGCTCGATGGAAGTCGTGAGGGTGAACAAGACGATTGGCGCGGGACCGTTTCGCTTGTCGCATTAGGCAGGTGGAGGTCTCGGAGACTACTCTGGCTGGTCTTGGCAACAAGATAGGGCAAATTCGAGACTTGGTAGCCTGGGGTAACTATATGAACGCGGGATACTAGTAGTGAGCTGATTTGCTGTATTATAGCGAATCCTTGGTAAAGCCAGCGTCTTGACTGGGAAGGAGACAAACATAAAAGCTACGGAAGGCGCAAGTGTATCCCGTCATAACCCCCTTCTCGAAGCATGAGATGCATGATGGTATCTTTGCAAGTTCCCTTACTGGGAAGGTACGCCCAACTCCCTGAGCACATTTGCGCAACCAATCCTCAGCCACTCGTCTATATGGGCCTGGCCAGTAACCCAGACACTCCCTAGCATGCCGCCAGCGTTCGCGCTCGCTCCCTCTGTACAGCCTGCCCGCCGTGGAACAATGATGAGATGATCTGCCCACATAATGACGTTGTGCGGAGGGGCATCCTTCTCTTCAAAATTCATAAGAGACCGACACTGCGTCAACAAGGTCGTGTATATAGACAAGACGTCCTTTGCTGTGGTTGTCTCGAAACCCTCGCTGAAGTGGTGAAGGAAATACTGGAACGGCACTTTCTTCTCGGGATCATTCAGGGCGGATATGAGATAATCGAACGCATACGGTGGTCCCTTCAAGCCTTGAAGATGCTTGTGCACCCTGCTACAACCGCCTCTCTCCCCACAGTTGAAGATGGCATACATTCCCGGGAATTTGCGTAGGACTTGAAGCATGACCTCCAGATCATCCACATCAAGAGCTTCGTGCTGGCGCTTGTACGAGTCAAGAGTCAGCATCAATAGTTGTGGTCGGTCAACACAAAAGAGGTTTAGTGCCAGATCGTGGGTATTGTTGAGTTGAGTGACGATAAGCCGCTCATCAGGGCAAAACATGTCGCTTCCTGGCCCCCATTGTCGGGATTGATTAAAGGCATGATTTGTGGCATCGATAGTATGGGGTTTGGTGGCTAGTGCTGGGCAGATGCGAAATTCAAGCTGATGGTTTGTGAGTAAGTGCATTGCTTTGGGTGTTTGATTGCTTACAGGGTAGCCTTCAGCCTCCAATTTGACAGACTCGTAAGGCCGTATAGAATGACGGCTTGCGACACGAGCTCACCAAACGTGTTGGTCAGCTTTTGTTTCTGATACGTTGTCCATGTCGTAAAGGTGGTGGCCCTTTGAAATTGCAAGGCCGAGATTGTCGGTGAATGCGATAGATGAGCGTCGTGACGAGGTACAGAGGGGGGTCTGTGCTCGAAGCTACGGACTTAGTGAGCCCCATGCTCTATGGTCGGAAAAAGCAATACATCAGCATCGGATGAACAAGACAGAGTATGGGTTGATATAGCATTTTCAGCTATGTAATCCAAGGAAAGACGTGTTCAGCACCAGAAGCCCAAGGCGGGGAAAAAATAACAAAAAATCGCCTGCCGAGAAGTGAAGATGCCATGTTGATGGATTACAAAAAAATATGCCCTTTCCAAGATGCAGTCTCCCCGATTGCAGAGACCGATATGTGTGATGAACATGGGCGCAGTGCCTGGGTATCGTGGTATCGTAGTCAAAGAGAAGCAGCTATGTGGTCTCAGGCTTGGCGGAAAGTGGCCTCTCTACCAGGACATAGTCAGCACTGGTAGTCGATGAAGGGGTCGGTGTGTCTGGTAGCGCACCTGGCATGTCTGATGACTTTTGTGCGAGTGGGCTCGACGAGGCTTCCTCCAACCGCGCCTTATCCTGGTCGGAGAAGGAGCCGTCGACTGGAGTGCGTCGCTGGCTGTCCTTGCGGGCTGGCGGTGAGTTGCCCTTTGCCTGGTTCAGTCGCTCTTCGGCCGCACGCAGCCTTGCCTCGAGAGCCTCGAGCTCCCTGGTTTGGGTGGTGACGGCATGCTTCCTAGGCGCGTGTCAGTCGCGGCTTCCCTTTGTGGTGCCGGATGCGCAAGGCATACTTCTCCAGGACGGTCTTGTCGAGCATTTCTAGGCCTTCGTCCAAGTTGAACAGGCAGTCAAGCTCCGACATGAAGTTGCGCGCTACTGTCCTACAGGGCGTTGTCAGAAGGAGCGGACTGGAGCTATGCTAGCGGCGGGAGAGCTCACGATTGAGGGCGGTTGTTTGGCTTCCAGCCATGGTCTGGGTCGTCGATGGGAGTGGACTGTGCAGGGTAGGACGAGGTCATGATGGGCTCGTGAAGCGAGTGAGGCGAGAAAGGATGGAATGGGTTGGGGTGGGTTGAGATGGATGGGCAGGGGCAAGAGCGGAGTGATGCGTGGGGTGGGTATATATATATATATGGGCAGCTGTAAGACGGCGAGGCAGGACGCAAACGGCGAGGCAGGTCAGAGATGTTTCATGCAGCGCAGTCAGAGAGCGGGCAGAGAGGCAAGGCGCATAATAAGGCTTCCCTGGAATAGGTGTTGCAGGACGATTGCAATGTCAGAAAAAGGGGATGCCTATGCTCCCAAACTAATTCGGGCGTAGATCGGGAGTGGAGCTTGAGCTTGGGAGAGGCAGCAGCTGGCAGGGAGAGTTTGGATGAGCCGCAGCTCCCGAGGCCCAACGAGACATGGATTACTGAGGGAACGGAACACTTGGAACAGCAACACAGCAGCTGCAACATGACAGACGCTGTACTAGGTAGAATCCACAAGATGAAACCTGCAAGCGATAAATGCCCATCTGAGGCAGACGTCCCGCACCCGTAGTCTGGCCCGCCGCGCAGCTTTCAGTCAAGTGCTCGTGATTGGCCCGCAGCAAGGGCGGCGGTTGAGGCAGCCTGGGCTGCGACCACGACGACGTGTATCGCTATCAATTTGCGACGCCTCCATCACAGAAGCCGCGCCCGCCCATCTCGCTCCAATTTCCCCGCCCGACGCGCCCATCACTCGTGTCGCATGCGATGCACGTCTGCCCAAAATAATCGTGGTTGCCATCGCTGCTGCTGCTGCTGTTGTTGTTGTTGTTGCTCCCGCCGACGTCGCGCTCGTCGCCCTGGCTCCCATCCTCCCGCACCCCCATCGCCCGCGCGCTGCAGACGCCTGGGGGATGAATACAAGCGTGTCTGCCTACACCAACCTCGAGTCGCTGCTGCTGTTCCAGTGTCTCCATGCCTATGGCGTGGCGCCCTCCGTGTTTGGCCGCATCTCCGACCTACTAAAGCAGAACCCGGACATCACCACGCACAAGTACTTCCAGCCCGGCCGCCTCAGTCCCGATGCCCTGCGCAACTTCTATCTTGAGCGCCTGAAGCGCGAACTCGAACACGAGCAAGGTTCCGATGCCGACGCCCAACATGGCCAGGTCGCAAACTCAGCAAAGAGAAAGAGGCATAGCCCAAGTCTGCCCACTGTCCAGGAGTCGCTGCAGCACCAGCACCTCATCCCGAAACTCGTCACCAAACTCTACGCCTCGTACCGTCGCGAGCTCACCGAGCAGATCAGGGCCGACGAGGAGCGCTATGAGCGATTGCAGCTCCAACTGAAGAGCATTGAGCATGGCGAGTGGGACCATCAATTGCGCGAAAAGGCAAACGGGCGCACTCCAGTGTCGTCGCGGAGTCCTACACTGCCTAGGAAGTCGCCTCATCTCGCCCAGAAGCCTTTGCAGCCAGCCCAACAGCACCCGACCCAGAGTGGACAGTCTTCACCAGTCCAGCGCAAGAAGCAGACGGCTATGCCGCAACAACAACAGCCGCCAGCGCAATCACCACGACTCCAGGCCTCCTCCAACTACAATGGCACACCCTATCCAAACATCTCGCCCTTTCCTCCTCCTGGACAGGCTCCTCCGAATACACAGTCTCAGCCAAGCCCCCACCCATCGCAGTCGCGGTCTCCAGCACCCGCATCTCCAGGACCCCAATATCAGTATCCCCAGGGTCTGAC